AAAAAGTTGGCTTCTCTGCAATGAATTTTTTTTTGCTGATGTTGTTGTTGTTGAAATTTCATTGGATGTGATTTTCAACCAATTTCTCATATATCATTATCGAACAATACAAATTACTATATTTTTGAATGAAGTATCTACAGCAGTAAACAAAACAAAAAAAAACAGTAATTATAATCCAACGTTGGAAGGAAGAATGTTATATTAACAAAGGAAAACAAAAACAAAAATAAAAAATTCCAGAAAAATAAAAATGTTTTTTTTTCTAACAAAAAAAAGGAACCAACATTCATCTCAATCAATCTTCAACCATAATAATGATAATTATCATCTATATACAAGGCAAAAATGGGGAGAGAATGAAATAATTAGAAAGCTTTACTTTCAACCAGAAAAAAATATGCTCACGTAAATAATTTGAAGGGAAAAAAATTCCCAATTCAGTGAATTAGTTGAATAATATTTTTTTTTCTTCTGGCTATACATGTTGATTCTTTTTGCTAGTTATTATCCCATATAGAATAGAAAATGAAAAAAAAATGAAGAAAAAAAATTATTGACAAATGAAAAACTTTTTTTTCCAAAATTTTTGTTCACATTTCTTAATGATGATCAAGATGATGATGATAAAGTTTTGTTCACGTCGCCATTTTTCCCCCTATTTTTTGGTTTTGAATTTGGCTTTTTCATCTTCTTTTTTTTCTTGATTATGTTCATTGATTCACTTATCGGTTCATCATTGATTATAATCATCATCATCATCATCATTATTATGATTGGGGAAAAAATCAAATCAAAATACATAAAAATACGCATGAATAATTTTTTTTCATTCTTATATCAAATCAGAATAATATTAATAAAAATGTGAGAAAACTTACTTATCACTATTACTATTAGATGAAAACTCAAATATAATCATCATTATTAGTTATACATTTATAGATCCAATTTTCATTGTTCAAAAAAAATACTAGCCCAAAACTGAAACCAAATGACCAAAAATGGGGTTAACATCATCAGTTTATTAGCATTGTTTTTCCTCGGGAAATGTTGTTATTTTTTTATTTTATTATTTGAATTATTATTCTCATCATCATCATTTTATTTGGATCAATTGACAAATATAAAATAGATGAACACTATTATTTTGACATTGGAAAAAATTAAGAAACATCCTAATATAATTTCGATAATAATAAAATAATTATAACTAATATAATAGTTATTATAATAATCAAATTATATTAGAGTTGTATGACAAACAAACAAACAAACAATCATATCCTATTACAACAATCGTTATGATTAACTTTTGGATATTTAAACAAATATGAATTTCTTCTTTTTTGTTTTCATATTTGATAATACAAATATCAATTTATTTAGCATGTGCATTTATTTTATTTTTTTTGTTGTACAAACTTATTTCAGATCATAAAAGTAGTATCTCAGTGAAAGGAAAAAAATGGCTAGTATTCAAATATCGATTCTTGATACGATACACAAAACAAACATGACAGACTATAGTGGGAAACAAATATTCAATTTAGACAAATTGTCAACGCAAACCGACACTGTATTCTGTTGATATTGTCGACACATTTTTGGTACATTTTTTCGTTTAGGGAAAAAAATAATGTTTGTCAACTTTTAAACAACATCATCATCATCATCATTATTGTTATTATTTTTATTGAACAATGATTTATGAAACCGTGAATTTTCAATCAATTTTATCACTAAATGTCGATAATGTTTCTTTTGCTATTTTATTTTGAACATTTTTATTTGTAAATATTTGCAACATTTGCTTGCTTGCATCAACATTAATGTTTTTTTTTTCATTCTTCAATTTATAAAACAATTATTCTCTTTTCAATTCACTATACTACATTACAAGCTCATTGAATTGGAAATTGTTTTTTTCAGTAGTGTTTCGTTTTCGTTTTTCTTGGATAGGAATTCCATTACAACGTTGCTACATCACATCATCATGCGGCAATTTGATCAACATATATTTCATAAAACGGATGGATGCCTAGAAAAGTGGTGAGCAGGTGAAAAATTTTCTACATTATCGATAAAATATAATATTTTTTCTGGTAAAGAATTGTGTAAATGTGTGTGTGTGTGTGTTATCAAATCAAAAAGTACAAAAAAAAGATAATAGGTAAAAAGAAAAATATTATACACAAGATGTACCATGAATCATTTTATAGAATATGTTTTATTTGTACAAACATTATTATAATGATGATGGTTATGTAAATATTGTAAACAATGTTAAATATTTTCCATGTTTTTTATTCAGAAATATTTTGCTTATCACGAATAAAATAATAATAATAATATCAGGTAACCTTGAGGCCTTTCGATTCTTTTTGTGATTTCTCTGCTATATCTGGCTATATCGAATGTTGATTCGAGTAGAAGATTTATTTTATAACTCTATAAAGGATAATTTTTACCGTTGATTATTATCTTTGTCTTTTCTATGGCAGCATTATAATGTATTTTATTTTGGTAAGCGGTGAAAACATAATCATAATAATAAAAAACCACAATAAGAAAACAAGAATTCAATCAGTCGAATGAACGAATTTTATTGAAAGAGGAGAAGGATGTTGATAATATGATAAAATTGATCACAAGTGGAGCCACCTACAATCCATTGAAAGTAATCAATAATTTATCATTCACAATACTTTTTTTTTACAATGTAAGATAGTCAAAAAGTCGATCATATCTGGTTTCTTATCCCAAATACGGAAACAAATTCAAGCTGAATCAAGTATTTTTTGAAAACATCCATTAAAATGATGACTTTTGATGATAACTTCACACCAAATTAGAAAACATTCAGATATAAATATAACAGTGATAATGACATTGAAATCATTTGTTATCAATCAAACGATCGAAAAGAATTTCTATTCGGTACAATCTTAAATTATTTGAATCAATATATCCAAAGTGATCGATCAAATGATCGATTGGAATGAATCTATTCGAATCGATCAATGTGATCTTTTTTCTGTCAAACCAAAAAAATGGTATTCAATCGTAACTTTAATAGTATATTACGATTCGTGTCCTCATCATCGGAAATAAATTCTTCAATTGTGAGCTGAAAATTTCTAAGTAAAAAAAATGAAGAAAAAAATTACTGATTGCCAACATATGAGTCGTAGACAAACCGTGAAAAATAAGTGAATTCCAGTGGAATGTTTGAGAAAAAAAATGTACCCTTAACTGCAAAATAATGATGCTTTCGACATTCGTATGTAATTTTTCGATGATGAAACATTCGAGAAAATACGAGAATATGAATCGGATTAGGTTTACTATAGTGATTCGAATGAATGCCTATTTCTTATGCTGATTTAGCAAAACAGGAGATGAAATAATAAAAAATATAAAAAAACATAAAAGCAGCACGCATCCTTGATTTTGCGTAACAAATAATGGGTTTGTTATTCGATTACATCATTAGAAATCGTTTCTTCTTTTCGTTAGGTTATATAATATAATCAAACAAGAACATATTCAACAAACACGATATATAGATAATCTAATAATACAAAATCCAAAAAACGAATAATTTCATTTTTACTTATTCAATCCTATACATTCTATTCCATTCTAAATCGGATTCATCATTAAACATTTTTTTCTTGTTGGTTAAGTTGTCGATACAATTCATTTTCATTTCATAATATCTTGAAAAGAAAAATGCTAGATTCGCATCAGATTCTTAGTTACAAATGAACTAAAAGAAGAAGAAAAAAAACAAAAAAAGGGAATACTTTCAATAAGATATAAAAAAAATGTTTGGTTTTGGATTGAAAGAAAGTTTCTCTTTAGAAATAGAATCTACACACAAACATGAAAACATGAAAACATTTTGTTGTTATTCGGTCATTGTACGCTTGCCATGATGATGATGATGATGATGATAAACTAAATTTGTTCAGCGAACCTAAATAACATTTCTTTTGTATGAATGTTTTGTAAATGATATGACTATGTGAAAAAAATAAAGGCCCTTTCAAATAAATTCATTTATGATTTATACAGTTGTACTAAATGCATTTTCGGGTGGTGAAAAAAACTCGACAGATTTTTTTTTGTAAAAAAATAGCCTGAATAGATTCATTGGTTTGCATCCAAAGACAAATAAAGTGAAAGTGTTTGTTACAAATGAATTTAAATTCTGTGAATTTTTCATATTTTTCATTAATACTTAAACATTCTTGGGCTTTTATTATTGTTGTGGTTTGTTTGTATATGAAACAATATTTTTTCAAAATGTTACATCAGTTGTTTTTCCTGTTATCTGTATAATTTTAAAATTTGGAATTTTTCATTTCAATAAATCTATGAACACAAAAAAATCATTTGTAATTATCAATTTACCTTAATTCATTTATATTATTTTACATCAAAAATGCAATAGTTAAAATTTTTATAAGTCAAGTCTTTAAGAATGAAAAATTAAAATAAACTTTTTGTGTGAATTCAAGATTTTTCGCAAAGAAAATCCAATTGTTAGCATTCATTTATCCACATGATTGCATTATAAAAAAGCATAAATTTGATGATAAGATCTTTAATTAGTTTTGTTCGCATAAGTTAATTCAAAAAATAAAAACGTGTCGGTCTTTTCTTTTGTTATATATTTGGTGCTCATTTTGTGAATTATTTTTTTTTTGAACAAAAGCGATTTTAGTTATCTTTATCGAAAATAAAAATAAAAATGTGCCATTCACTTACTATTATTCTATTCACGATTACAACACAAGCATTCTGGAACAAGTCTTTTATCATTTGTACGGAATTCCGTGTCAAATTGAATTGAATGATTCACAAATTGCAGTCATCTTTTGCACTCGCTTTTGTTGTTTTTCTATTGTCTTTCATCTTTTATCTCTATTCTATTGTTCGTTTGTGATAAGTTTATAACATTTATTTTGTACATTCCAAATCTATAGATTCCTTTTAATTGTTGCTGTACTGAATTCTTGATTTGAAACTAATGCAAAATAAAATAATAATAACATCGTCAACTAATAAAAACGAAATAATGAATATCCAATGGGTCAAGGACAAGATCACCTTGGGAAATATATTCAATCGTCATCAACGATTTCAACGAAATGATTCTTCTAATTCAAATTCAAGTACAAATTCTGCACCGGTTACAGCTACAAATACGCCCATTGCAACACCCGTACATCATCAACGAATGGGTAGCACAATTAATCGAAATCAATCATCTGTCACTAATCATAAGTCGCAGCATCAACCAAATTTGGCATATTCAAATCGTCAGAATAGCTTTCCTGCTCCCAGACCTAAAAAATATTCACAAACATCAGGTGGCCACCCTAAATTGGCTGTCAAATCCAATTCTGCTAGTTCAATTACAACTAATCATGGAACATCAAGTGGAAGTCTACGTCGTCGCCGTTTCAAACAACAATATCAATCACGTATGAATGAACGACGATTGTCGACACAAGGCAGTTCCGGCACATCTATATCCACTAGTCAGGAATACTCCAGCACTGGAACGAGCATAACAGCGAATCCCGTAGTTGATCGTTTATTAGATTATATCCGAGAAAATTACACCAAACAAATGGAACCGTTTCCGTTCGAAATTGGCAAAAAGATTCGTCTAACTTCTTTCGGTAAGTTTATTGTATTAGCATGAATTATATATAGATTTCAATGAGAAATATAATTATTTCGCAATATTTCTGATGAAATTTTCTGCCACCGCGTTCATTTAGCTTCATTTCGAATGGAATCCGGTCAACTATATGGCGCATCAAATTTCGAACGAATCGGTGATTCGAAATTGATCAAATCAGCCGATGAATTCACACAAATTATACTCGCATCGAACATATTATTCAGCGATATATTGGTGGAGATATTATTCTCGGCCAAAATTGCACGCTTCATGATGCGTGATAAACATCTACGGATATTCATTGAAAAATGTATTGTTTATGTTGAGCTGGCCATCGATCATACAATGTCGGCTAAAATTAAAATCTTACGACTCGTATCTATGGATGGTGTCGAAGCTAGAACTCGTGGAATACCATTTCCATTAAATAAAAGTTTTGATGCATATGCATTGAAAACTGTACATACGATGGCAGCCCATTCCGAACAATACACCAACCAAATCGTTACCATCGTCAATCAATTCTGTGATAATCTCATTGAAAATGCAATCAAATCGCTCAGTTTGATGGATTTGTTTTGGTAGTTTCGATGTTCATTTACAGAAATCATTTAAAAATTATATCCAAAACCGGTCCTAAACCATCAAATAATTTTCCAATAAACTATCCATTATTTTTTCACCAAATCATAAATTTTACAAATTTTTCCTCAATCAATAAAATGATCAAAAATAATGCACGTCTGTTTCTATATGCATTTATATTCTATTAATAATTTCATTCGAGTGATATGGTCGATTAATTTTCAATGATGGCAAATTGAAATTACGTTGGTAATCAAATTCAAATTAGAATTTAAAAAAAAAATTTATTCGACGGAAAAAATACAGAAACGAAAAACGATGACAATGATTTCTGATAGAATAGTTTATAAATGTTTGTTGTTGATCTAACCTGTTATAAACTAAATCGATGATCGCCTCAGTGAACCAAGAAAAAAAGGCAGGAAAATATTTGATTTATAAACAGATCTACCTACCGACACGAATTTAGAATACATTACCAAGTCATTTGTTTGCAGTTAAAAGTTTTCCCGAATCCTTCTCATAAGAATATTCTGCCAAACACCGATTAGGTTCGACATTTTTTTTCTCTCTCTCTCCAAAGTTTTAACATCTTATCGTCTTTATTTCAGGATGATTATAGTAATGTTTGCTGCATATATGTTGTGAGCGTGTCTGTGTGTGCGAAATTCCTGAGAAGCTATGAAAAAAAATTCAGCTTCATGAATGAATGTATAGGGAATAAAATGTGAAAAAAAACTTTTTCTTTCATGATGACAAATACAGTTCACTTCATTTCGGAATACAGTCAGGGAAAAAACCCGATGAACAGCAATGCAATATTATGTAGAAATATACATCATTTTTGGAATTTTTTTTGTACATTTAAGAATGCCTATTCAGTTCGTGTGAATTTAAAATTTAAACCAAAATAATATTAAAGATTACCTATAAAATATTCAAAATATTCACATAAAGAATGAGTTAGATACAAAGATTTTTTTTGTCTCTATTGCTATTCTTGTTGCTGACAGATTTCTCGTTTGTTGTAAGAAATTCCGACAAACACACAAGAAAATTATTGAATAAACGATGTATACGGTTAAAATTTTGATTTTGTGATTCTTGAAAACAGGGATATAACAACAACAACAGTAATAATAATAACCGTGCTAACAAAATCAATCCTGTAAAAAAAACAACGTATTCAGGTATCAGATTTAAATGAAGAGATGTCTGAAAAGGAAACACTAATTCCAGATATAAACACAATAGCGATAAAGAAATGAACAAACAACAAAAGCTCATTTTTTTTCATTAAAGTCTTTTCAACAAAAAAAAATCGAATAATTCCCATCGAGATTCACAGATTTTGTTTTCTTTTTTTCATGTTCATTTTATTGTTGTTGCTTTTTAGGTAGCAAGATTAGTATTAGTGCTGACTATATGATGTAATAGCTGTTTTTTTGTTGTTGTCCGAATTTAGTTTAAAAACTTTTGTTACTTGAATTATTGAATTTGGATTCTTTGGAATTAGTCATATTATGTATTATATACAATAAACATTGTTAGGGTTTTTTTCTTCATATATTTTTCTTTGAAAAATGATGAGAATTTAGATGTAATGGTGGAATAATATGAAAAAGGAAATTAAGAGGTATGGATTTTTTTAATATAAAAAATTGAATGAAAAAATGTGATAACATGAAACAGGAAAAAGCATCTGCAAAGTTGACATGGATTGACAGGTTGAATGCAAACAATTCGATCATCATCATCATCATCACATTATAAAATCAATTTTGAACATCAAAAATATGAATGTGTCGAAAATTTCAAGCTTCATTGGATGAATCATTTTGAGCAAGTTTGTTCTCTAATAATTCCATCATTTTTAATTTGATTTTTTTTGCCACACATTCTTTGCCAAAAAATTCTGTTCAACATTCCAAAAAAAAAGTTGAAAAAAACCAAAAAGTGTATTAAAACTCAAACACCAGATGTCACACTAGATTTTATTTGGATTTTTTTTATTTGACTAAAATTACAAATTACAATTCCAATTTTCAAACATTCGTTTCAAATGTTATCATTTCAACAAAAATAAGGATAAATAATTCTGATAATAATATGGGAAATTATTTCTGTTGAATCAACTTTAAACGAGCATCATCAATACACTGAGAAAATTCTCGTACATATTGGCTACAAAGCAGAGATTTTTTTCCATTTATTTCGAAACAGCGAATCAATTTTTCTTCCACTTCTTTACATGGCTGTTGCCGTGGTTCATCACTTTTGTTGAGTGCTTGTCCATCAAAATGTTTTTTCAATACGCTATCATCAATTCGTTTCATCTCAGTCCCCATTAATTCGCGATTTTTTTTCATCAAATCTTTGTTTAACCGGTCCATTTCTTCGAGATTCTTTCGCCACATCATTTGATAACTCTGTAATTTACGTTCATACTCACTACGAAGCTCGAGTAAAAAAAAGTTTGGATCAAATCCCGAATAAAAATTTGAATGTGGATGCTGTGATTTATTAATGGGTTTTGGAAATTCTTCAAACATGTGATTGTAGACATTTTCTTGAGCATCTGGTTTTGGCAATGAAGGAAGTTCAGGATAGATATTTGAATTTGAGATGCTGCCGGATTGATTGCTACCTGTTGTGAATGTATTCGTTATTGGTGTGATTAGCTCATCTCCCGGTGTTTTGTTCGGAATATCTGCATTTGTTGAACTGGCTAAATTTTGTTGTTTTTGTCGAGCCATTTTTTCTCTCAAGGATTTAGAAATCCGAATCTGATCCCTATCATCATTGATGATCGTGAAACGAGTGTTGGTCATTTTGAATATATTTAAAACAAAACTTCTTCCTTGAAACAAACAAAAGTTAACAATTGAAACCAAAAACTCAATTTACAACACGAATAACCTTAAATATCACACATATGTTCGAGAACTTTTAGAAAAATTTCTCGACAAAATTATAAGAATTTTCGGTAAACTTTCTAATAATGTAGAATTAACATTATGGGATTATGATTACGTTGACAGATCAACTTTGATTTTGATGTTATTTTCAATGTCTATTTCAATCATGAGACCATTGTCATGCACATCGATCTTTGTCTATTTATTCCTTTGCTATATCATTTATTCGACATATATTTTTTACACATTCCTTTTCCCACCAGAATGTCCGAACAGAGATGTTGAAAAATGTCTTAATCCAGCTTTTAAATCCACTGATATATTTCAGCTATTTCTATGCACTTCAATTACATCCGAAACAATAATTGCTGTTATCGATAAACAATTAAATTGCTATCATCATAATGTATCTTTCAATTTGGCCGAACCATTTCATTTGTAAGTACAATGGTCATGTGTATTCTCATTATTAACTATGATTTTCAAAAAATGTAGAGATTTTCAAATTGAACTTCCTCCTGAAACATTGAATAATAATTCTCTGTATCAACATGTCATCTTAACCAAATTGATGAACTCATATCAAGTTACTACGAACATCATACGTTCGAAACACACTGTAACATTTGTTGCACCACTGACTCGTTTTCTTATACCTCAGGAAAATTTATTCAATCTTTTAAAATCTGATAATCCAAAAACGGTTTTTTCATCCAAGCATTCGAAGCGCCCGGTGATACATTGGCGATCAAAAATAATTGTAAATGGATTGCAACGACCGTTTTCTCTATTCAAATCTGCTTTACCTTATGAAATGTTATATCTGTTTCAATTGGATGACAAGGGCCGATATTTACCTATAATATTTATAAGTGATGCACGACAACGTTTAAATGATTTACGACCATTACCGAAAGATAAAAAGCCACCTGTTAATATGCAATTGGAGGTGATTTATGAACCTGTCCCGATGGGAAGACTTCGTTTAATGGTATTGATCGAAAAAGCATTTGCAACCATGCAAAAAATAGGATTCGGGGAACGAGAAATCGACGATGGGAAAGGAATATTTTTCGAAACAAACGCCAGTTTTTTACTGTTGACCGTTTTGATAATTTCTTTTCATGTAAGAATTTTCAAATATTGAAACACTAAAGTTAATTAAAATTATTCTATTTAGGCTTTATTTGATTTTTTGGCATTCAAAAATGATATACAATTTTGGCGCCATCGTGAAACAATGGAAGGATTATCGTTCAATTCAATATTATGGCGATTCATATCGCAATTTATAATCACTTTATATTTAATGGATCAAGAATCGAGTAAACTGATAACCATTCCATCGATGATAGCGACCCTGATTGAATTGTGGAAAATGAAAAAACTTGCGCACATTGAATTGAAAGGTTTACGCTTCGTACGGAAAGCTGATTATCAACCCACCAATTTGGAAACAAAAACCGCCGAATTAGATAGTTTAACGCTTAAAATTCTTAGTTATTATATTCTACCACCTTTGCTTGGAGGTGGAGCTGTTTATTCCATTCTTTATGTTGAACATAAATCTTTTTATTCATGGGCAATCCAATCTGCAGTTAATGGTGCTTATTGTTTCGGTTTCATATCGATGTTACCGCAATTATTTATAAACTATAAACTTAAATCAGTGGCTCATCTACCATGGCGTGCATTCATGTACAAAGCTTTTAATACATTTATTGATGATTTTTTTGCCTTTCTCATACCTTCTGTACCAATCAGTCATCGTTTGGCTACATTTCGTGATGATATTATATTTTTAATTTATCTTTATCAAAGATGGTAAGAATACTGTTTTTAAATTTAACTAACTTTTAAGAAAATTAATTTTACGAAAATTCATTCTTGAAAAATACAGGCTCTATCCAATAGATCGTAACCGAGTGATTGAAAGTCAATTTGGTGATCAGTCGTTAGCCGATATGAATAATGAGCAAACAAAAACAATGGCACACAAGAAAAATGATTAAATGACTTGTTTTTATAATTATTGAATAAAACATTGTTCGATTTGAATTACACTTCTCTAATATAAAAGTTTCTTATTTGATTCTAATGAAACAACAATTAAGAAATGCACTTTTTCTATGCGAATTTGGCCTTGATACGAATAAGGATAAGGATAAGAATATTTTATCGTTTATGTGCGTATTTGTATTTCCTAGAATTTGTTTTGCAGTTGTTGTCGTGATTTGAATTTTCGATTTAATAATACTAAGAACATTTTTTTATTCTTTTCTTCTCAAGTACACATTTAAATCATGAATAAACAGCTATCAAGACAAATAAATAAAAAGGAAGAATAATTTGAATTTAAAATGCTGAATTATTTCTCTTCAAGATTTAGTTGAAAGAAAAAAAAATAAAACTATTCATTGATTGAAAATTTGTCATTGCAAACATATTATTAGTTATATTCTAATGATTTTTTTTAATGGAACAGTTTTTTCATTTAACTGGACTTTCTTATATTTTGTTTGTTGGTAAATAGAATTTTATTTCGCTTTGAATTGGATTTTGTTTTCAATCAACACAATTTCCAGTATATATTGATTGTCATTGTCAAATGTGACATTTTTAAAAAATGATTTTTCTCTGTTTGGTCAGAATTTCCAAAATAAAGAAAATTACGTCACTGTCAAATAATGATCGAAATTCGATTTTTATTGATATTTTTTAAAATGAAATTTTCAATAGAAAAAACAGTCTTTTTTTGGAATTCTTGCCAAACAATTCTATAAAAGAATTTCATTGGATATACAGGCGTTGTTTCATTATTATGTTCGGTTAAATTTTGTTCATAATGATGATAATGATCGGATCTAATGCGCGATGACGCTCCAAAAAGATCAATTCATTCGTTTCTGGAGGGGTTTCCTTTTTTGTTGTTTTTGTTGTTGTTTTTTGGTGTTGTTTATCCTTCACTGTTTTTCATTCGTGATCAATCATAAAAAAAAATTTTCTTTTACCTATAAATTTATTTATTTGGGCAATTTTTTTGTGAATATACAACAATGTAAGAATAAATTATTGATTATTAATGTTGTTGTTAATTTTCTTTGCTCAAATATAATTGATAGAATATTAAACTCAACGAATTTTTCGATTTAACTTTACAAAAACTACGATAAAGACATTTTTTTTGACAATTTTAATGTTAAATCTGTTTTTTATCTTTTTTTCGTTGAATTATAAAATAAAAAAAATCCTATTTGTATCATTATTATTGTGATTATTATTGGACTCAAGAACTTTTTTTTTGTTATTACTTTTTCCACATAATCATCATCCTGTTTGAAATAAAAAAGACAGAAAAAAAAATGAAAAAAGAATCACAATAACTAATAGTGACCATTTAACACAAAAACAAATATATAGCTAAAAGACACAGACACAACCTTGTTTTGGAAATTCTTTTGAATTCGATATAAACGACAATATATATCAATCAGGGCAAATTTTTTTTTATATAAACACCAGCATGAAGAGGTAAAAACAATAAGATAAAATCAAAGAACGACCATCATCAAATACAATGTGAAAGCTTAATAAAAGAATAGATTGTAATAAAAGAAAATCGAATCTAATTTTAAAAAGATATAAAGTATTGGCAACAAATCATTATACCGGAACAAACATATATTTCGACTATCTTTGTATTTGAGTAAATGACTGACCGTCATTTTAAATGATGAATGGCAAAGCAAACTTGAACAAAAAAATAAAACTTGTCTTCTAAAACTATTGTATAAGTTTGTGAGTGTGTGTGTATGTTCGTAATATTGACGGATTATTAACGGACGATTATTACGAAACATATATTTAAACGATGAAAAATGCCTTGACAAACAACGATTAAAAAGAATTAAGCTTGACTTGATACACGATTTTTTCGATATTTTATTACATTAGATAACTTATTGGAAATTCGTGATTCATAACGAAAAACATTTTATTATAATAAAATGAAAAGGCAAAAAATCGGGATTCAGATCAAAAATTGATGGCATTACTATCACCAAGTGAAACATATTTGAAATAAAAAATGCAGTTTTAATTGAAAAAAATCTAACAGACGCAAATTCTATAAGATTTTATATTTTTCATCTTTAATCAGAAAGCAAACAAATAAAAACAATTACAGCCAAATAAGAATCAAACAATCAGGAAAAACTCTGGATATAATGTTGAATCATCATAGTTTTTTTTCATTACAATTTTATGCACATTCCATTTACCAATAAAGTGCACACTACAATCATCTAGATTGCTCATTCGAATACGAGAATAGCATCTGATCTCATCAATTTTTTTCAATAAACATCTTCAGAATTATTGTTCATTTCAATGATGATAGTGATTTTCATCATCGTTATCGAATGAATACATAAATGTGTTTGTATATGGGTCAAAAAATGTGATTACTAAATCAAACATACATGATTGATTTATGTTCACCAATGGGAATGTTGCAAATGTCTTTGAAAGATCTTCAGTTTTTTGTTTTTGTTTTCATTGCTTATGATGCTTTTGTATTGAAATTTTTCACTGATGAAAATTCTCAATTACGATTATTTGATCCATTTTAGCTTGGATCTTAATTAAATTTTGTTCTACTGATGAACCTACTCTTATTCATTATGTTAATAGTTTCGAATCTGAAAATATCCATAAGGAATTTACCAAAACGAAAATATATCTTATTTCACGTTAATAAATGAAAAAGAATTCTAGAGGTTTCCATTTCACAACGTGGAATGTTTGCTATTTCAATTCCCTTTATTCATTTATAGATGAAAGAAGAAGCAGATTTTTTTTCATACACATGACAACATTATCTTTATCGCCGAACTAATAAAATAAGGTAATTGTCTTGATTGAAGAATCGAAATTTTTTTTCAAATAGTATATATACATTGGGACATATATTTTTTATTTCATTGTTGTTTCAGAATATTTGAAATATATTTCATTATCAATGTGAACATATAGTTGTAATTCAATTGATTATGAATTTTGTTCACGTTTGAAATCAATGAAGATGATTTTTTTTTTGCCAAAAAAAATGAATAAAAACAAATCTTTCTTATATACACTTAGTTTTCAAAAGTGATGGTCATTATTCAACCATAAAAACCATAAGAAACACAATATAATAGCTCATTTTTTTTCTTCACACTTGTATATTTACAAATACATTCTTAGAATGCAAAATACAACTACAAATTTCTTCTTGAAGAATAAGAATTGATACATAAACGTATGTTTTTGCTGTTTATTACAGAAAAAAAATGAAAGTGAAAAAAAATATTATTTTATTTTTGAATTATTGCCTCAATCACAAATTGTGTGGTGAAAAAAATGGCATTTTGATAACTCAATATAAGTCGAAAACGATTTAAAAATAAATATTATATGGATTGATTGAAACGGAAAATTGTTAGATGATGTATTTTTTTCCTCTTTCTAAAAATGTACACTCTGAATTCAAACTTTTTTTCGAAAAAAAAATAGAAGGAAAAGTGTTCATCAATCCAATTGAAACAAGAAATCTGCCTGAATGACATCATAGAATAATGATAGTAAACTTTTTCCTCTCCTCACATTTCGGACATAGACAATAAACAGCAAACAATTGGGCCGAAATACTTCAAAAATAAATTTTCATCAATTTTTTTTTGAATATTATCATCCATATTATGTCATTGAAATATTTTCCGATAAATTATTCCAAGAAATAACAAAATCATTCATCAATTATTTAATGATAAAATGACGAAATCATAAAACTAAATGGAAATAATACTAAATATAGATTTTCCCAAATGAGACAAAAAAAAATCTTGACAACAATGAATCGAAAAAGTTTTTTTTTGAATGATAACTTAACAAGGTCAATGTTTTTAATTAATAATGAAAGCTTTTTCAAGTGATAAATATGCATAAGAAAATATATAAAAATGAATTGAATAACAATAACAATAAGTATTATGACTCTATCAATCATAAGACTAGAAGGGCCAAAAAAAAGATCAGAAAACAAAATTATGATGATGATACTGATGACAATCTGGCTTCAATATTTTATAGAATAAAAGTTGTAATCTGATATATTTTCTCTTATCTATAATAATAACTTTGAACATAAATATTTTGACAAACATAATACCAATACTCTTGATAATAATAATGAAAATATCAAAAATCTTTTTTGCCATTTGCATCCGATATTGATTTAATTTCTTAACAAAAGTAGGCCAAAACTTGTGAAAAAAAAATCTTATAAATCAAGTCATTTTATGTTGACATTTTAATGAGAAAACAAAAATGTAAGAAAAAGAGCAAAAGAAAAAACTTTTAGATTCTGTTTTTGAAATAGTTTTATCGATTTGGTAAACATCATCAAAAATTTAATCATCATCGACAATTCTGATTAGAATCCTGAAAACAAATTTGGCCAAATCAAATCAAGAAATTTTTCAAAATTTTCAATTCTCTTGAGTGGTTTTTATCTTCATCAACAAAAAACATCATGAGAAGAAATTAAATTTTCTTCGATAGATATCGACAGACCCACAATTAATTCATCATATACACTGATTAAAATTTGCTTCAGATTAAATTTTCATTTGAAAAAAACAACAACAAACATATAAAACTCTATTACACATTTTCTTATAAATTTTCGGAAGAATTTCGATGTATCATGCCTCATAGTAGAAAATTACTGCGTATTTTTCCGTTACCTGAAAAATCAATATAAATCAATATGAAAAAAAGTAGAAATTGAAATAATTCAGATGGTGAGATGATTCTAGTTCAGTGAAAAGCCTCAAAGGTTTTTTCTTGTCATTATCATAATCTGATAATCAGGTTTTGGTTAGCTGAACTGCGGTGGTATATGAATAATTGGAAATTTTCTTCACTATAAAATTAATTCAAAGCAGTGAAGCGAACTTTTTTTCTGATTTCATTTTTTTCAGATTCATATACACACTTACGTGCACAACATTCGGGTTAGGCTCCTTCGGGGCTTTATAGCTTGTCAAAACAATCAAATATCAACAAAAAAAATCAGATACATTCATTCTTAATAACACAATTTTTTTACGTACTGTAACATCAACGGTTGTTGTTGTTGAATTAGGGACTATTTTTAAGATAAGCTTGAAAATACATTGCTTTTCCCTTCAGTCACTCATATCATGTTTTCATTATAAATTCAATCATTCTATTGGGTTGTCACAAATTCTTATGATCAACCGACCAATTTATCAATGACGTCTTATATATTGCCAATAGTAATAGCAGAAATAATATTTTTTTTTATGTTTGTTCTATTGAGTTTAATCTTCTTTTCTTTTATTTTTTTTCAAAATAAATGTGTGTGGGTGTGTCATATCTTTTTCCAAACATTAAATTATTTTACAGTTATCTATTTTTTTTATCATCACAAAAACACTATATTTCCATTATTGTACAACTATTTAGATTTAAAATGATTTGTTCATATTGTGTACCATTACACTATAAAATTTTGGCAGTTTGGCTTTTTTATCTATTACCAATCAAATCATTGCTATTCAATTAGTCGATTTGTATGTGAATTAGTTGATCGACTATGTAGATACTAATTAACAAATTTATTTGGATTTTCGTAGATAATTGTTTTCAGTCGGATTTTTTTTCATTGTTTATTATGAAATAATTGTTCAACCAAATAACAACCAAAATGAAAGTCGAACACTCTTGATTCTCTTGATTCCAATTGAAAACATACATTTGATTGTACACATCACACTCTCAAGGGAAACAAACAAGATTATTTGTTGTCTGTCTATATTTGTTGATTTGTGTTATCGTTCGTCGAAAAGACTGAATTATTTTTTCTTTCTTCTCATTTTTTTGAATCAGCAAGAAAACTTTTCATTTTTGCCACATTCATTTAAAGTCGAAAGGTAAATTTTGCTGATTTTTCAATTTTTATTTTTTGTTATCATTATTGTTGTTGTTGTTGTTATTGTTGAACATTTCAACTTCATTATAACACCCATAACCATAAAGTGAATAAACTAATTCCGTACATTTGTGTTTGCAATTAATTTCATCCGATAACTATCGCTGATAAAAAGAATACAAATTGATTGTAGAAGTTGTTTTGAATAAAAATTTAATTTTTATTTTTTAAACACAAAGGCTGTCTTCACCTTTTTTTTCACTAACATATTCCCTATATATCAAGATGCTATTTCAATTTTCATAATTGAGTCAAAAAAATTACTGAGAAAAAAAGTTTGTGAAGAATTTCATTATATCTAAACTTGAACACTAGTTAAGGCCCTTAAAAAATAAACTAAAAATACAAATATACTAAGAGAATGAAGTTCAAGCAATAAAAAAAACTTTTCATTTATTCACAACAAAAACAAATCAAATTCTATGAATTCAAATTGTTAATAACCAATAAACTTGATAAAACATGACGAAATAACAAAAACAAAACAAAGAAAAAGTTGTATTTTTCCAATGGACAATGTCTTTCGTTATTTCCTTTTTTTATTATGCTTTCAATTTGATTGAATTTCAATGAATGGGATATAATTTTTTTTTGCTTAAATAAACAGAACCATTATACAATTTACATGAATATTTGGTTATTGTGATCGACAGTTATACAAGATATGTTGATAACAATATTTGGATACTATATCCATCATAACATTCTGTTTACATCAAATTTCAATTTTTAATTAATTCAGAAGTTTTTCTGTTTGTTTGATGAAAAATATTGAATTGATTTTACATATCAATTTATTATATTAAAAATCGTTCATTTTATGTCATTGTGTTGATGATGATGATGATGAATATTCAGCTGAATATATTTGAAGATCGAATATTGGATTCGTAACAAAGTTAATTTAATTAAAATTATCTTTTCCTTTAGATGGGTATTCAATTTGATACAATAACATTGGAATAAAAATAAATTCCATATGGTTCGTTATCCTTCGTAAAGAGGAGTGTCCACCCATCCGTGTTTATCATGAATGCGTACGATATGCCTGTGAAGAAGAAAAAAAATAAGTGGAATTAAATTAAATGTCATATTGTAACGATACGATTGAATTATTTTTTCAGGTAACAATTAAATCGCAGACTGATTGACTTACCGAAAGGAATTAATGGCTGATTTTTTTGTGAAACATTTATTAACATCTTTTGTTGCTTTGATTGTTGCTTGTCCTTTGACAAATGATGCCATAAGTTGTATGATTACCGATTCCATTGTATAGGCACTAGTCCAGCCAGTTTTCGTCAACAATTCTAGACCTATTTTTCGAATCACATCATTATCATTAATCAAATTCCAATATGAAAATCAGTAATGTGACACTTACATATGGCACCTCCTTCCATAACGAAACCTTCAATATATTCAGTATATCAAAATTCAATTTTTAAAATCGAATAAAATTAATCATAGTGTCGATTAGAATAACTTACCTCGTTCAATGTATGGCGTAACGACACGTATAAATGGTGGTTCAAATGGATATGAATCAGGAAATATAACATGCAATTGTACGAATTGAATTTGATATTGTTGCATGTCCGAATAGATCTAGAATATTCAGTAAAGAAAATAAAAATTATTCCAGAGAAACACAATCAATACTGGGAAAGAAAAATGATAAAAATAAAAATAAAGAGAATATATTAAAGATGATGAACGAGAAAAATTTCTGTGCATGTACGTTCATTCGTCATTGTCACAAATAATGATGGCCATTGGCGACAGCTTTTGAAACGAGAACGCCCTGAATTCTATATGTAAATATGATATTTGTAAAAAAAATAACTTTATAAACAAAAGCAAAGAACATGATAAGAGCATGATTTGCATATAATTTATGAAATCTTTGATTCACTAAAAAACAAATAAGATACGAACAGAAGCTATTATAGCATCAAACTTTTGGCCATTTTCATCATCATTATTATAATAGTCATTGAGAATACAACCAAGAAAATACGTGATTTGGTTACAGCAAATAAATAAAACTGAATATTCTGATATAATAAAAGTGTGTTTGGGTGACAAATCGAGCGAAAACGGAAAAAACCGAATGACCGATGAGTGAAATTGGCAAAAACTTTTATTCTTTTTTGGTTTGTAACATTTGTAAAGTTGACAATTTACATATGATAAAAAATAATATCTATGAACAAATAATTCTATGAATCTATGAATGAATATCCACAAAAGTCAAAATGACATTTTCTTCTCTTAGGGTTATATTATGATGTAAATTTAAAAGAAAGAGAAAAAAAATAAAACATTAAAATAGAATGGAAATCCACATTAGTCTATTTATTCTGTAATCTAGTAGATGTTACTGGCTAAACTAACTTATGAATAGAAAATGAAAGTGAATATGACAGATTCTGCCTGAAACCATTATAAAATTAATCAGCTATGTACAACGATAATAAATGAACTAAAAATATTCATTTCTTTTTTAAAAATAACAATTGTCTTCCAATGTAAAAATAGCATATGTTCCACAATCAAAATTCACTATCATTTTTTTGATTAGATCAAAATTTTCGAGAGCTGAAAAAAAATTCTGATAATGTTCATCAGAAATTTATTCACATTTAGAATCTATTAATATTATATCAGGTTTCATTGTTTCACATGAATGAACAAATGGACAACAGCATAAAGATCAATTTGGCCATGAAATGATGAATTGAAAAAAATGATGAAAATTCTAAAGAATTCATTCATATATTCCATTCATGAACTTATGATGAAAATTCATTTCAAGATAATAATGATGAATTGATGTAGTAGTTATCACAATTTATCTGTTCATAAAACACACACACAAAAGCACGCGGCCAAAAATCGACCCTTATAAAAATATTGTCAATTCTCTAAAGAATAAAATTAGATAAAGATAATTTTTGTCAAACTATCTTGAATCATTATTATCATTGTTTACTCAGAGAGAAAAAAAAAGAAAAAAACCAACGATAATGATGATGATTTTTGCCTTAATGATCGTGGTCATATTAATATGACAATTTGGTCATTCCATTTATTTATTCATGTATTTATTTCTTTTATATTCTTTCATATCGATTACTTTTTTTCATAGGGGAATTTCTATACCATAACAACAAAAAAGACAGAGAAACAAGAACTATGAAATTCATCAAGCTATATCGGAAATGTTGAAAAAAGTCAAATAATAATGATAATGATGAAATATAAAAACGATACTCCTGAGAATTTTATTATAGTTTTCTTCTGGTAACTATAAAAGTATCGAGTTGCATGATAAAGATCATTATTATTGAAGAATGATTTTTTTTCAACCATTCATTTATTAATGCTTATGATGATAAACACTAAACAGAACCGAATGTGGTGAATGAATCAAACTTTTTCCACTGTGTGTAATAAAATAAACATTAAAATATGAGTGACATTCAAAAATATCATTATAATTAGAACAAACAATTCTTTGGAATATTAAAGAAATAAACAACTTACCTGAGATTCTTTATCAAACTCATAGATTTTTATATACCATTCATATAAAGAATCATTAACTAATTCTGTTGTGAAATTGGCCGTCAATTGTTGATTTTGACGGCGACGCATTAGGTCGCCAATTTCTCGCATCAAACGTTTTGTCGATATGTCCATTCGTATTTGTTTATCACGTTGACTGTTTGAATTTGAACCAACACTAGGTACCACAGATTTTTTTGATGATTTAAACAACGAAGTGATTAATAAAGATTTTGATGGTGATGATGATGATGATTGATGTTGTATAAATTGATTATGACCAGAATGTGAAGGCACTACCCGTTGGTTGGATATAACAATATCCTCATCACCATCATCATCATCGTCTTCATCACCATCATCATCAATTTCATTATCATCAGCTTCATTAGGTTTATCATCTGAATTTTTTGATTCAAAAAGCTCAGGATTCATTGTCGTTGCAGGGAGAATCACATCACAGTTGAAAGAATTAGCAGCTTTACATGAATTATTAGCAAGCGATGATATCGATAATTGTTGCAATATCAATGGTTGTTTGGATGATGATGGTAATGTTAGTGACTGATGAACTGAATATTGTTGGTCGTGATTGACTGGATAATAAGGGGTTGTTTCATCGTCATTGTTATGATAAATTACATTTACATTAGCTATTCTATTATTATCGTTGTCATGATTTTTTTGTCTTCGGCGGAAAAATTCAATAAAAAATAAACGATTCAATATCCGAAAATCAAAATTATGACGGCTTTTTTTATCATGGCCATCATTGTTGATTGCTTCATCAATAAAGGCATTTTCATCAACACCATTTTGGTTGTTAGTAGGCACTGTGGCAAAATTAGCTATTTCTTGACCGGTAATGTTTGGTGACAATTGAACATTGGCTGATTTTTCTGCGGCAACATTGTTGACAAACTTCGATGCATGAGGGCTATGATGTTGTATTTGTTGCTGCTGTAGATCAGTAGGAAAACTAAGACGACGATCACGGTTGAATGAAAATCGACGTTTCCTGTTTTTATCACGTTTATTTGAACAGACACGTAAACAACAACAACAACGGAAACAACCAACAAATAGAACTGTTAATTGTGATGGAATTGAACCGCAAAAACTTTGTAATACTGAGAAACGGTTGTTGGAATGCTGGTGTTGATGATGATGATGATGATGATGACCGCTTGCACCATTTGATTGATCGGATGAATCCGATGATGGTGATGATGAAAAACAATTTAACGATAACATTATGATTTGTTTATCATCAAAAAATCTATTCAATTTGGGAATCGTTTTGTTTTTCTATAATATAGGTTGATGAACGAAAAATCCCAAATTCAAAAAAATGAACACCAACAATATGAATCGACGGCAATGGCGATGATAATGGTGATGTTTCCCAAAGGAAAAATTTAATAAAGAAAGAAAAAAACGAGTTAATATTTTTCAAGTTTTCTACATGATTATAAATTTCAAATGAAAATGTTGAAAGAATTTAAAAAGGTTTTTATCAGTCCAAATTTCACATACTCATGCACATCGATAAATCTTATTTTTGATATTTTATTCTAAAACATTGAATTCAGTTTTATTGTCACAATGAAAATGGTGAAAATTTCAAAAAAAAATCAAATATCGAGTAAAGAAGAAAAAAATTATTCGAATCATTGAGCCGTACCATATGATATATTCATTGTTTATAGATTAAAAAAATTTTGAACAAAAAATTGAAAATCAACAATAACTAAAATGAAAGCAAAAAACTGCTGACAAAAGGAATCACAGAAGGAATCAAAGATTTCTAGATTATTTTCATATTGTGAAAGAGAGAATTTATTCATCTCTCTTTTTCACAAATATAATAATGGTAACTAGCAATAATCAAAAGAAAAAAATCAAATTTGTCTTGACCGTCATTGAAAACACAAAAATATTAATAATTAAATCTTTCAATGATTATTGAAGTTATAACTTATTCGTAATTTTTTTCTTGCCACCAAAAACAAAAGTATTTTTCAATCGATTAATTTGCTCATCCTTGCATATCAATCTGTAAAGCTTGATTTTTTTTCGATAAAAATAATTTAATAAAATATAAAAACAGCAGGCAAACTATATTTGATACAAACTACTCACTTAGGTTCTATATTCTTTAGAGAATCTGGGCTCAATGAATGTAAAATTCCCACATGCTTACAAACATTGAATACTGAAATATCTAAACAAAAAAAATTATATAAGAAATTTAGATTGTAAGCTTTATATTCGTTCGTTCACGTCATTCATTATTAATAAATAATTTTTTTCAAGACAGTGAAAAAAGGACAAGAGGAAAAAATTCTACACGAAATAAATCTGCTGTTATCTTTATTTATTGTTAGGATATATTTCATCTAATCAACTATTATTGTGTGAAAACGGCGTCAACCAAATTTAGCCCACTGAATCAACGAATGGAGACGAAAAAAGGGCAAATCGGTTCTTATGAATCTGATAAGCAACGTATCGATACTATAAGAATACGAAAGGGGAAAAATTAAATTTAAGATTCATGTTTTGCAAAAAAAAGGAAAAATTTATTTCACAACGAAGCGATAATTTTCTGGAAAAATGAACAAATTTTCAAATTTCTTTCGTTCCAGCTTTTTTCGCCTGCTGCTTTTTCTAAATGATGATAAATTATATTGTAAATATAATAATAAGTTACCATACGGGAACAAAGTTTAAAGACAAAAAAAAACTGTTATATTTCATTCATACCTCGTGATATAAAATGTTCAACACTCAGGCGAACATACCCACAACAGATGGTAACACCAAAAAAAAATCTTATCGTTTATAGAACAAAAAAATTTAACAAATTATCAACGTAAAAAAATCTTGCCAGACCTGGTTTTTCATCAAATATGATGATAACCATTATGGAAATTACTCGACAATTCACTTAAAATGTATGAAACTTTGCAATATTCCAAATAATGACAGACGTAATGAATTATTCGAAAACAAAGAGAATTAAATACGATTTGAAATAAGAATTTAGATGAAAATACTCTAATTAATTAACGACAAATACTAATCCTAAACTTAATTAATTGAATGCAAATAAATTGAAAAACAAAAAAGTTCCGAAAGCTTGAAAATGTCGTATCATTTTAGTCATAAAAATATTTACAAATTAAATGGCAATGAACATAGCATATTATTTGTCTTAAACAAAGAAATTTCATTTAAAAATTGATTCAAATTGAAGTTCATTGCTATAAAGATATAATTTTATTATCATCATATGAGATATGATATGATGTCGATGATATATTTTTCAATAGTATATCCTAATCATATCTAAATATATGCACTTAATAAAATTATTACGATTGATCATGTTGCTTAAAAAGGTTCAATCACATCATCATGAGTAGTGAATTTTTTATTTGATCTATTGCATACATTGAAAAATGAAAATCAAATGTAGCGATTGAAAAAGAGAGTCAGCGATATTGAAAATCGACTCAAACATTCTTCAGCATTTTTTTCTAGGGAAAACTTCAGCTTGAGGCAATTTACAAATCTACAATACTAGTCTATTTTATTTCTCATGTTTAAATGATCAATGATCATCCTCGATCCAGAATTCTTTCAATCGATGTTAATAAAAGATGAATTCTCAATAATAATAGAAAAAATATAGTTTATAAAATGAACTGAAGATGAAATGACAGCTTGTTGATGTTATTGTTATTATTTTGCTGAACAAGATTAATCATTTTTTTGCAGAGAAATACAAACAAACAATAATTAAATACGTTAGAATAATGATGATGAAATAGAAATGAAAAAAACATCGATCATCATTGATCATTATTATCGTCATTATAAACAAAAATAAAAATGAGAATTCTCATATATTTGAAAAAAGAGTGACCAATTGATAGCTATAAACATAAACATTCTTCACAAATTAATATTTGAATATAATCGATTCAATTCACTAAAATCGGTAAATAAATTTGTGAATGATGAGCCAACAAAAAAAATCGGTCCAATTTTATATCCAAAAATATCATTGTCATCATCTGTATTTATTAACAACAATAATTGAAAACAAAAAAAATGTGTGAAATTGATTATCGATAATAATGGATGTATAAATGATTCCATTAAAATAAATATTCATTTTTTTCAATAAAACCTGCATTATGAAAAATATACGCAATGGAATAAAATGATGCATTAAAATCACTATTATGGGTTTTATTATGGGATTACAAAATCGGATGTAAATAATAAACAAATAAAGAAAATTAAATAGTTGGTTATTACAATTTTGGCCACAATCGATCGGTCTATTTTTGGAATATGAAATCGAAATCTTATTCTTTCTGGTGTATTTGTGCGATCTATTAACAAGAATTTTTCCATAGTTCTCTTTTTTCTTTTTGATATTGTTTACTACTTTTATTAGATTCTGATAAAATCGATATGAACAAACAAAGAATGATGAAAAAAAAAATAAAATGATTGAATGCGTTAAGGATAAAAAAGAAAGAAATCGGCTTATCAAAGTGATTTAGTGAAATTTTTATACATACTAATTTCGACCTTGTTTTTCTGGACATTTTTTCCAATTTTCACAATTTAATACATCTTTTTTTCCTATTTATTTAGACATATAGTTAAGAATGATTTGGATTGTTTCCTTATAAAATTTATAATTAAATTTTCAATCTTTCAAATTCAATCACTTCGATATAATCGGACTTAGTGACGACAAAATCTAGTGATCACAGTATTATTATTGAATAAATTTGATTTGCAATTTTTTCGAATCGTCACCATTCCAAATCCTTATGTCAAAAACTGTATTGTGTCAAATGATCGACAATGGCCATTAGCCGTTAGATTCTATGATAAATATTCAATATTGATATTTTTTTCTTCTTTTTAGGTTAATTTGTTATTTTTTCTCATCATATACATCAATATACATATACTTAAATGAATTATTTTTTGAATAGACTGTTAAATTGATTATTGATTAATTCATTTTAAAGGTCAAAATATAATTTATTTTCCTTTTTATCTTTGATCAAATTAAAATGAATGATTATGAACAGCACCTTATCACTAAATGTAGCGAAATCTAAAACGCATTCATTCATTAAATATGCTCATATATTCGAAAAAACAACCCTTTTTGCGCTCATATCTAGTGTCTAAAATATTGAATGATAAAAAGAGAGAATTTTCCCTTCACATAGAAAGAGGTTAAGCAAAACCAGAATGAATTTCAAAACTAAACTAAACGAGAAAGAATAAATTTCGAATAAAGACAACAGTAACAACTGAAAAAAAAATCAAAACATAGGACCGAGAATGACAATCAATTAATTAAAATGCCATCCTCATTATAATTATTCGCTTCTATTCTTTCGAACCAGAATATAAGAAGAACAATTTAGATGAAATATTGAGATACACGTTTCCTGTAATGATTAAATGCTTTCGACTTTATTCGTTGTTGTTGTTATTGTTTCAGATAACAAGAATTTTTCCGTTGTTATACTTTGTTTATCGATTGATCGGTTGCCTGGTTAAGTTGTTTTTCTGATTATTGTTTCATACCAAACTGTAGAATTGATTATATAGTTATTTTTTTGTCAAGGTATAAGGAATCAATTTTAAACAATAATAATAGTTCTCTCATCTATTCATCTGATTCATTTCATTTCTTTCTTGTTTAGTTTTAATCAATCAATAACCTTGTTAGAACTGTTGTTCCCAAAAAATGATAATAATAATTACATAGAGAAGATTTCATAAGTTAATCAAAAAGAATACACCTTAGAAACTAATCAACTATCAAAGTATATAAAAGAAGAATTGCCTTGGTGATCTGAAAATGATACGAGTGAACGGCAACAAAAAGTAATAGAAGTGATTGAAACAAAAACAAAAAAATACCCGAAAAACGCGTCAAGTCTGGTTATATCGAATATACATTCGCGCTATCCGGTAACGAGAGAAAAATCTGATGGCCAGGAAACATGGCATGTGATTCTTGAATGAAACAAGACCTGAATAGAAAGAAAAGACAGAAAAGAAGCAAATTCAGTTTCCGCAATAAATCATTGTTTTTCTTTGGGAGCTAGGTATATGTGAATTTTCATTGCAATAACAACTCCTATCATTTGTATTATTATCAATTCAAGCTGTGAATGAAATATACTTCGAAAAAATGGTCATAAAAGGAATATGTATGATTGAATGTAT